CCCCCCCCCAGCTGCTATAGGGGGCTAAATTATCTATATTTTGTAGAGAGAACTCTATATTTGTAGGGGATGCAGGGGCCCAGGCTGGGTCTCTGTCTCTTGTATAAATTGTACAGACCGTGGCTGCCTGTGTGTGTGTGTGTGTGTGTGTGTGTGTGTGTGTTTGCGTCTGCTCCTGCTGTGCGGGGGGCCCATCCCTGGCCGTGTCTCCTGGGCTCTATGTGCCAGCTTGCCTACTCCAGCATTTTCCTTTGGAAATGGCAGGTCTGTCCTTCCCTCTGAGCCTTGGCCCCCTGTGTCATCTCCCTTGTTATCCTCTGGCAGCTTCCTTGCATCTCATTTGTCCCCAAGCCACGTCCAGGGTGCCCTTGACCCTTGCCTGCTACATTCTGTCAGCTTCCTTTGCCCAGGCTCCTTTAGGGTGTCTCCCACCCTACAGCTGAGAGGAGGAGGTGACAAGGGGAACTTAACTTGGGCCCCTCCCCGTAGGAGTCCCTGTGCCAGCCCCACCACATCCTGGAAGAGGAGGGGGCCCCGGGAAGGGGCCTCCCCTACATCGCTGCTGTCATCCATGCACTGCTGGAACGGCCTTAGGGGTTGAGGTCGGGGTGCAGGGGCCCGACCCGGCGGGAACCCCAGGAACAGAGAAGACAGCCACACCTGGGCTCTGCTCTCTAGCGAGGACTGGTGAGGGCGGCCTCGGGCCTGGCCCTGTGCCTCGGGCACCTGTCTGCCCGGGAGCTTGGAAGCAGGCTGGCCCAGCAAGGCGCGAGGCCGCCTCTGGGCGTGGTCGAGGGTCTGGGATGGAAGCCTGGGGGCTGGGTGTCGTGTCACATGCAATAAACGGAAGCCAGAAGCCCTCTAGGTTGCCCCTCAGCTTGTGTGTGTGTGTGTGTGTGTGTGTGTGTGTGCGCGAGCGCGCGTGCGCGTGTGTGCTTGTGTCTGCGAACGAGAGCGGTGCGTGCCGGAGACGGTGTAGCCTCCACGTCTGGGCGCCGCAGTTCCCTCTGGCCGTTTTCACCCTTCCGTGCGGCCCCGCCGTCCGCGCCGCCAGGGGGCGCTCGCGGGATCCCGGCGGGACCGTGCGCCACGTGGCCCGGAAACGCGCTGGACGCCTGCGCCGCGAAGCCCTGCGAGGTGGGCCGCAAGCTGGGCGCGCAGGGCAGCGCGTGCCGCTGAGGGAGGCTGCGCCCGAGTGGGAGCCGGGAGGTGCCAGGCGGGCGGCGCGGGGCCCTGACCTGCCCTCCCGTGGACGCGGCATGTTGCCCTGGACCCCCCGGCGGTGGGGCGCGGGCGAGGAGCAGGCGCCCGAGGAACAAGGCCCCTCGGCGGGCAGCGACCCCGGCCAGGCCTGGGACTCCGGAGAGGAAGCCCTGCGGGAGCCAAGAACAACTCCACAGGACAGGTGAGGGGCTCTGCCAGAGGCACTTGGGCGAAACCCGACGGGGGCCCACAGTGTGAGAAGATCTTAGTTATCCCTAGTAGCGAAGAAAGGGTATGATCAGTCTCCCCGCACCGGGCACCCTTGGCCCGGCCTTGGAAGTATTCAGACTTGGAACAGGGAGGTGATTGTGGGAGGCTGTGACCGAAGCATCTCAGTACCGCCCCCTCCCAGCCCTCAGCCCTGGTCCCGAAGGCCTTCCTGGACCCGGAAAGAGCAGCTGCTGCCTCGGCCGCCCCCAGGCCTGGCTGCCGAGCGGTCACCGGGAACGCCAGGTAGGTACAGGGTCCTGCCATCTTTATCCCCAAGACCCTTTTACCGACTCCTGAGCCTATTTTAATCTCTTCAAGTCCTCCCCCGCCCAGTTCCCCTCTCCCCCCAGATGACCTGGGAGGTGGCCCCGTCAAGGATGACCCTGCTGGCACCATGGGACCCCAACTGTGAAGCTAAACCGGGACCTCGGCTGGTGTGGGTGAGTTGGGGGTACCTGTGGCACCAGCCTCGGGTGGGGCAGGGATGCCTTGGGAGGAGGCTGAAGCTCCAGGAATCTTTCCCGTCCCTCCACAGGGGCTCAGCTGTGAGTCAGGCACCTCCTTCTCAGGCCGGACCTTGCGCCATCCCTCATTCTGCCCTCTGTACGAGGCAGCCTCAGGCAGAGGCCTCAGGCCCAGTCTAGCAAGACGTCAGAGTGGAGAGCAGGCGCCCAGGGATGCAGGTACGGCCCTTGGTCCCCTCAGGCTCCCGGAGAACCAGTGTAGCGCTTGCCACCCTAGCAGCTTCTCCCCCGCAGGGTTCCCGGTGATGTGCTGTGAAGATGTTTTTCTTTCTGACCATCTGCTGCCCTGTGGGCAGCGTGTTCCCCTGTACCCGTCTCAGGCCCGACAGCAGGTGAGCGCTCTTCCTGCCCTGGCCTCACCCCAGCCTTCACGCAGGGCTCGGGAGGAGACACTTGCCTCTCCTCTCTCCTCAGGTGATGGGCTCTCTGAAGCTGCTGCTCCCACCCCCAGTCATGTCCCCCAGGGTCCTCCCTGCTCCATCTTCTGGCTGCTCCACCGCCTGGCTCAGTGGGCCTGAGCTGATCGCCCTCACTGGCCTCCTGCAGATGAGCCAGGGGGAGCCAAGACCCAGCTCCCTGGGGGCTCCCATGCCCCCTGCTGGCCCCCCAGACCCTGCCTCTGACCACCCAGGTGCCAGTGGTGGCCAGAGCTGTTCTCACTGCATGGACCCATCTCTCCCACGGGCCCCAGACAGCCAAGGTCCATAGCCCCTCTGGGGGAGAGTGGGCCCTTACTTCCCCAGGCAGGTTCTGTTGACAATAAACAGTGTTGGTTTGCATACAGGCTCCTTGTGGCAGAGAGCAGAGTGGGGCGAGGAGGCAGGGATGGGGTGTCTTCTAACACCACGGCTTTGGTTGCTCTCCCCTCAGATTCTTGTTACTCATTCCCCCTACAGTTGGGCAGGGGAATCCATGGACCTAAGACTTTTCCAGGCTCACCCAGCAGGGAAACTTTAATGGGGGTGGGGTGCACAGTATAGACTCCTAGACTAGATTAAGTATATTAGAAGCAAGGACTCCATCGGTTCTGCCAGGCCCGCGGAAAGAGAATTGTGTGAGCACATAGCTGGTGTTGGGAGAGGCAAAGTAGGGGGTAGGGGGTGTCATCAATTTGGGAGGACACTAGTGTAAGATACCTGTTGCTCTCATCCTTCTTGCTCTGGGGTCCCAGGAGTTCAGCCAGACACCAGGCAAGCACAGCAGGTGTGTGTGTGGGGCGGAGGGGTAGATCTCTGTCTTCGCGGTCGTCGTCATTGGAGGCAGGGTGCAGGGCCAAGGCTGACTTGAGACTCTGGAGCGATGCTGCAGGAACTCTGTGGGGAAACAGAGGGTCAGGGCTTTGGCTGAGAAGGTCGAGAAATTTGTAGGGGTTTTGTTTTAAGGGGGGAAGTGTTCTAGAATTTTCTCCCTTAAAAGAATCCAACTTCTTGGAGAACCTCCTCCCGAAGACTTCCCACGCGCCACAGTTGGAACGGGCAGAGCCCTTAGGCAGCCCGTCCTAAGGAGCAGCTCAGCGCTTCTGCTGGTCACACGTCCTAGGGGACATCTGGGCTGTAGAGCCTCTCCATCGGGCGGAAGGGTATCGTGGGGTTCAGCGGGGTGGGCAGGAAGGCACTCTTAACTTTGCCCTTTTTTCTTCCTCCACTCCCGTCTGTCCATCCATCAGCTATACCCAGGGACCACGGGGGGTCTCCTCACCGGGGCCTGCCCAAGGTTCTGGAACTCGATGTGTGCGTATCTGTGTGGGCGGTGCCTGGCCCCGGGGGGCGTCGCCTCGCACCTCCAGGGGAGGGACCAGGTCCAGGTCTATGTAGTTGAGGCCGCCGTCAGGGGGCTCGGGGATGTCAGTGCCCATTCCTATGTAGTCGGTGGCCGCGTACTCAATGCACACGTACTCCCCGGCTAATTCTGACGGCGGCTGCAAGCAGCGCTGAGCCCCTGCGGGTACCCAGTCGTCTCCCACGCCTAGATGAGGGCCTTGGAGCCCGGGTCCAGGTTCCCTGGCCCCAGGCCTGTAGGAAAGAGGCAGGAAGCTCAAGGAAAAGGACTGTGGTGCACAGAGGCTCATGGATACATATTCAGTGACTCCTCCATCCTAGAGCAGCTGGTGGGAAGCGGCTTTGGCTGAGGCAGGAAGGCCCGGGGTTGCCATCACCACGTAGCCACTGGCTTGGCCGCCCCCCATGGGCTCGTAGTCACTCCTGGCTCCCTTGGTTATGTAGACCCCTCCCAGCTCCAACCCCTCGGGGTGTGAGGCTGCTGCCCCCAGCCTGGCCAGGGTCTTGAGGGTTGATTGCTCGCTTCTCTCACTCAGGCGCCCCCGACGGTACAGGCCACTTGATTGGGCCGCAGAGGCTGGGGTCTCATAAGATTGGGGGACAGAGGGTGTGAAGGTGTTTGTCGGGGGCTTTCTTGGCAGTGGCTCAGTCCTGCCAACGGCACCACTGTCCCCCATTCGTTTCATGGCGGCCAGGACAGTCTCGTGAATGCTTTGGGCCACAATGGCGTCGGGCGCCTGTAGCCACAGCTCCCCGGGACCCGTGGGTGCCGAGCGGCCAAGCTCCAGGAAGAAGAAAGCGTCGGCATGGCCACAGCGGCGGCGCACGCTGAGCAGGGACAAGCGCAGGGCCGGTGGCGGAGATGGCCGGGAGGCCCTGGAGCTTCTGCCCCCGGGCTTCCTCAGCAGGCTCAGTACCCCGGAACCCAGGCACAGGCAGTAGTCGCCGCTGCCCAGGCCTCGTGCCCGCCCCAGCCCCTTCGGCCGCAGCGTCACGGGCCAGACGTCCTGAAACGGAGCGAGGATCCAGGCCCCGGGGTCCTCGTGGGAGTCGGGACCTGGAGAGACAATGGTCTGGTGACAGGGGCTCCCGGGCCAGCAGGCTGGAGTCACTGTGGCCCGGGGACTGAAAACGTGTAAACCCTTCACGTTTGGTCTTGATTTCGGAGACCTGGGGAAGGGACAGGCTATGGATAAACCAAATCCATGATCATCCGCCTCCCCCGCACCACCCCCCCCACCCCACCACGGGGCTCGGGCCTCACCGGCGCCGGCGGCGCGCGCCTGGAGCAGGGCGCTGTACCACGCCTGCTGCTCCGCCTCGCTGGCCGCCGCCACGCCCAGGCTGCGGTCGCGCGTGTAGAGGACGATCAGGTGTCGCTGACGCGCGTCCACGCGCTTACGGATGGTGCACGCGCCCTCCAGGCTCACGCTGAACTTGGGCGGCGCTCGGCCGGCGCGGAACTTCTCGCTCTTGTAACACTCGAGGCGCTGCGGGTAGGCGCGGAGCACAAAGAAGCGTTGGCGCTCGGACTTCTGCTTCCGCAGGTGGCCGCAGAGCCGCACGTCAGCCGGGCAGGCCCAGGGCCGCAGCGGACCCAGGGCCACGTCGGCCGACTCGAACTCCGGGGTCGTCGTGGGGCCTCCGGGCTTCATCCCGGACCCAAAGCAGTAAAGTGTCCGGAGCAGGGGCTGGGACGGCAGAGGTGGGGTAGACGTAGCGGTCCCCAGGGAGGGGGGCGGCATCCTGACAGGCGACCACCCGTCTTGATGCCCAGCGTCTTTCCCCCCACTCCCGACTTGAAGTTTGGGGCAGGGGGTCGGCACCGTGTGCCCCAGTGGCTGCCCGGTGGCCTGAGACACCCGAGGCTCCGACAGACTCAGGCTTGACCCCTGTGCCTCCCGTTGCCTCCTCTCCTGTCCTCTCCCCTCCCTCCCAGCGCGGATCGCGCCTTAGTCCCCACCCCCGCGAGGTTAACCCTTGCGCGCCGTGGAGCGGGACGCCGGGCGGTGGGAGTGGAGTGTGAGTGGGGAAATCCAGGAGAGGCGGCCTCCGCCTCACCCCACCCCGTGTCCTGGGACTGGGCTTTTGCAGGGGCGGGGGTGGGGTGGCGTCTCTACTGGTCTGAGCTGCCGGCCGGCCGAGAAAGCGGCGAGGTGAGGCGAGCGTGCGTGGAGCCACGTCTGTGGTGACCGCGCTGGTGGCGTCTGCAGTCCTGGAGGTGAGCGGGCCACCCTTACAGTGGCACCCCCTTCCGGCCTCCGCCACTCCCCACTCGGAATGGTGTCCCCTCTTCCCACCCAGGAGTGGCTCTGTTCTCTGCCTTCTCAAGTAATCCCAGGAGCCAGGGCTATGGAGCACTGGCCTATGCTGATCTTGGAGGAGCTGGAGGTTCAGTTTCTCTGTGGGGTTGGGGCCATAGGAGGTGTCTTGGGGTAAGTTAACTTCTGGATCAGTCCCTGTGCACAGACCATACCCACCAGGGTTCCAGTCAAGTGGCACTGAAGGAGAGCCAGTGGAGGAAGAGACCATCTCTCAGGGGCACTGCCCTCTTGCTGCACCATTGCCCTCAGCCCCTCCTCACCACCTCTGTTCAAAAATAACGCTGCCCAGGCCAGCTGAAGGCGCTGATCACAGAAGTGCAGACTCTCTGCACTGGCGGAGGTACCCTTTGCCCCTTGCATCCCGGGAGGCTTGAAATGGGGTTGGGATTCAGACATTTTTACACCCCACTTCTGATCCTTCCAAGGACCACTGACTCACGTTGGGGGTGATGGCATCGGTCAGTGCACACTCTGTGAGACAAACCGGTAGTTGACACACGGGTGGGGGCCTCAGAGGACCTTATGATTTCACTGTCATGGCAAGTAGGACACCTACAGTGGGGGAGCCGAGGGTTTGGGAGAGGGCAGCTGTGGCCCCTATTAAAGACGGTATTTGGGGAGGAGTGCCTTCAGGTGATTTAGGAGCTGTACCAGGAGTACTGAAGCAAGGCCACCTGGTTCTTTTTCTCCAGCTAGTCCAAGGGCCAGGAAAGCCTGAGTAGGAAGGGCTGGGCTTCCCACCCCGGCTCCTCCACTTCCCAGGTGTGGGAGGAAGGGGTTGGTCTATGAGCTGGAATACTGGAGAAGCCAACAGTGCGTGCAGTGTGCAAGAAGGCTCAGATTCTTGAACGCCCTTTAAGGGTCACGCTGAAAGTGTGAGGCAGGGCACCACCTGGCATCATGAGGATGGGCATCTGGCCAGCAGGCAGCAGTGCCCGGGTTCTGCTCCAGGTGCCCGCCCCCCCTGCCCCCCCCCAGGTCAGCCAAAGCCTCTCCAAGGTGCCAGAGAGGTGGCGGCAGCTCAGGTGGTGCACGCGGGCCAGCGGCAGCCTCCACCGTTGATGGGTGTTGGCCAGGGAGAGGCAGGTATGTGAGAGATCCTGAAGTGGACACCAGAAGTATATTCAAGGCCATAGCTTCCAGTGTGGCCTCAACATATGCGCCATGGAGAAGTGGCAGGGACACAAAAGACATCTGCAGGCCTTTCCTCTTCCTAGTTTTGGTGCTGCCTTGAGGAGCAGGGCACCCATGGGGGCCACGTATCTGCTGTGCTCCTGCCTGGAGCCTTACTCCTCAGGTTTGATTTGAAGCTACGCACAGGAGGGTCTCTTCATATCTGCTCCTTCCCGCTCCCCACCAACCAGTCCACCTTGGAGCACCCCAGTCCTTGTGAAATTACAGCCTCTGTCACAGAGACCAGCTCCAGACCGCCTTGTGTCATTGAACCCCTAAGTGCTGGGTCAAGATAAAGCAGGAAGCAGCAGGGATTGGAGCACCTGGGCCCTGGGCAAGCAAACGTGGTCCAGTGGGTTGGTAATCAATGCCAGGTGATTTAGCCTGCTGGGTACCAGGAAAAGCCTGGAGCCAAACGACTGACTTAATCAGTTGCCCTGGCAACACTGCCCTTGGCTCTACCCAGACAAGATTGATTTGAGCCTGTTGCCCTGGTAACTCGTGTTGCTCACCCGGGACAGGAAGTAACAGAACTTCAGCTCTGTTGGGTGAGAACACCTCCCCCAACCTGAGGGGGTCCACCTGTGCATCCCGTTGCCAGGTGCAGGGCAGCAGTGGGATGGGCTCTCCACATTCTAAGTGCCTATGGAAGCCTCTTGTTACCAAAGGGGAGCCCCCAGGAAGGAAGCTGGGGCACTAGGGCCAGGCTCTTCCCGTGTGCCCCTCTCTCCTCCGTCCAGGTTCTCACTCCTCTGGAGGGGTCTGCAGGGACAGCGCCAGCCCCTTCCTCCATCGGAGAGCTTGACAGAGGTCCTGGGCACTGGCTCCTGCTTCCTCACCCGCAGAGGCAGCCGCCGGTGACCTGCTGAAGGCTAGGGTCAAGCCAGAGGACTGTTGCCTGCAGAGCAGTGTCACAGTATTGGCCAGGGGGACATAAGCACTTGGTCAGAAGCCTGGTGGCAGACTGGGTGAGTCCTTCCAGCCCCATGGTGTGGGTCGAGACTTGTAACCACCAGGCAGGGCCTGCACGGAGGCCCTGGGCGATGGGGCAGGGAGCACAGCCCAGTCATTCAGACATTTCCTGAGGCCAGGGATTCTTCCATCTTTGCTGCCTGCCTGGAGAGAGGATGCCGGGTGGAGGCAGCACCAGGCTGTTCCACACCGAGACAGGCAGCTGCAGTCCCAGTCTCGGCCTACGCCCTGCGAACTCTTGATTTTTCTGCCCTGGAGTTGGACGCTGACCCGTTTTAACTTCTCTGACTGGTCATCCTGCCCTGGCCAGTGAGCTGGTGGGGGTCCATGTCGGACAGAGTGACTGAGAAGCGTGGAGGGGGGACTGCAGGGAGGTCCTGCGCCCAGGCACTGAGCAGTTGAGGAGATCCCTGGGAAACAGCGGCAGTGTGACTCAAACAGTAAGAAGCTGCTGGTCCTTTAAATCTCACCTCCAAACCTCAGTGTTTTTGGTTAGGAAAGGAGGCGCCAGGGAGCTGGAGAAAAAGAAGCCTCCTCCTCCCCCTCCTTCTCCACCACAAGATTCCAGTTTCCCTCCCGTCCCTGGCTCTGAGCAGAGAATGGGGAAGACACAGATAATCAAGGGTGACAGAGAATACCCAGGGAAAAAAAAAGATGGTCCACCCTGGGAGCGCCACCAGGAGATGGAAGGAAAGCAGAGGCTGGAGAACGGGAACCACAGACACAAGACAGGATGGGGACTGAGCCCTGGGAAGGTGGGGAGGCCATGCCTGGCTGGGCAAAGAACAGCAGCTGAAGGTATTTACAGGAAAAATCCTCAAAGTAAATCAGTGATAAGACTGTCCCGGCCTCTCCTTGCTGTCAGGTTAAAGGTCATTGGGTGGAAAGACTCAGAGAAATCCCAAGAAGGGACGACTGAAGGGGCCAGAGTTGCCAGGCAGCCTTAGGAAAGGGAGAGGCGCTCACAGCGGGGCCTCTCCTCCCCCAGGTGAGGTGTCTAACTAACCCAAGCCGGCTGTCTTGTTACCACACACACAGCCTAGACACTGTTGACACAACATCCCCAGGTGGCAAGGGTCTGGGGAGGGGCTGAGGAGGCAGCTGACCTGGGAGAGCTGGACTTTGACTAGGCCCTGCCCAACCCCCACGCCGGGTCCTCCTCTGCACCCCCTACCCCACTCCCTCCACTGCTAAAACTGGGCTCCAGTTCAGACAGGGACTGGCTCTGTCCTTGGCGAACAGCAGCATGGGCCCCGACCCAAGCAGTCACGTTGACTGACATGAGGCCCCTCAAGCTGGCCCAAAGCAAGACCACGAGAGCCATTTTTTTTCTTTCAAATGCAGTTCTTTTCCAACACTGCCTGCAACAGCTTTGGTGCAGAGATCTGGGGCCACGGGGAGGAGCGGGGGAGGCACAAGGGAAAAAGAAAGGGAAAGAAAAGCCAATTGCACAAAGCCTTTCTCTGGAAAAGCCCAGGCTTGGGGTCGTCGAGAAGTGTGCCTCCTTCCCCACCATCCCCTGGAGCACCGGCTTTGCGAGGCACAGATAGGGATTCATCCCATTCCCCATGTGAAAGAGCTGTCTGGGAGAGGAAGAATGGCTGCATCTGGATACGTGTGTGTATGCATATATATAGATATATATATATATAATAGGCTATATTAGAAAATTCTCTATGTATAAATATAAAACACTGGTATCCAAACATGACACCACAGCTAACTAAAGTGCTTGACGGAAGTTGGGCATGTATAAGTATGTAGGTAAAACTATTCATCCTGAGGGAGCTGGGGAAGCAAAAACATGGAGAAAGGGGTGCTGTCCCAAGCCAGGGCACCAAGGGCACTCTGGCTCCCCAGGACCTCCACGTCCTGTCTGATCACCATCCCACGTCAACACCATGCACGCCTCATCCCCACCACCGCCCTGCTTTCCCCACTGTGCTTCCTCCCACGAGGAGAACAGTGTTAGACAGCTGGGCACTGGGGAGTTGTTCCCACAAGGAGCACAGCTCAGCCTGTGCCCCCAGCTTCCTCTGCCCACAGGGTTCGGAGTGAAGGGAGTGCTGGGGGCAGGAGAGGAGGACTCTTGTCATCATAATTAGTAATTTGAAAAATAAAACACCAAGGCTCCTCTAGGCCAGGCTCTGCCAGCCCGCCTCCCAGGCCCCCTGCCTGGGTCGGGGATGGAGGAGGAAGGAGGAAGCCTCAGGGTGGCTGACCCGGGAAGCTGCCTTTTTATCTGCAAGCCCCAAGCAAAGCATTAGCACCTCCACCATCCCCAGACCCCTACCCTGCGAAACAAGACCCATCTGGTCTCAGACCCGCAAAACTGCCACAGGCAAAGTGGTCATCGGAGCTCCAGGGAGTAGAGGGGCCCCAGAGAGCAGCCCCCCGGACACAGTGCTACAAGAATGGGTTGGTGTTTGGAGGGTTGCAGGCAAACGGGCTTGATGAGGATCCGGTCTGGAAAGAAACAATCACCACAAATTGTTAGATTAGGGAGGAAAAGCTGGAGGCCACAGAAGAAATGCAGCTCAGGATTCCTTTCTCCCTCAAAATTACTGTGCTGAGGGAGAGGGAAAATAAGGGAGCTAGGAGGCAAGCGGAGGGGTTGGGAGCGCAGAGGCTCCTTAACTAGCCCACTCATCCCTGGCTGGGCCAAGGCAGTTTCACGAGGAAGGGCCGTGGTTCCGCCCCACATTGCCCTCTTCTCCTGGAAGGAGTCTGTCCCAACCCCCAGAGTGAAAAGCCACACCCACACCAGGCCCGGGCCCTGCACTGGCCACTCACCATGAAGGGGTTGGTGGAGATCCCAGCTGGCTGGCTCAGTGGCCTCTGCCCCAGCTTGGCAGATCCCTGGTCTCCGAAGGAAGAGCCTGGCAGGAAGAGCAAAAACTCAGCTGACGGGAACCCTGCCCCTCGGGGCTGGTGCTGCCTAGCTCACCAGCCTCCCTGCAGGGCAGGCCGAGTTACATCCCAAGGTGGGCAGCCAGCGGGGGCCTCCCCAAAGCCGGGAAGAAACCTGTGGAACAGTCAGAGGACACAGGCAGGTCTGCTGCTTCCCTGGTCTCCCCCTGCTGGTCCAAAAGGGAACTAGCTCAGATGTCTGGCTCCCTAATACATATTTCTAATATTCACACACACACACACACACACACACACACACACACACACACACACACACACACACACACACACACACACACACACA